ATTCCATATCCCGGAGCCTCCCAGGGACCAGCATCTGGGTGGTTAGATTGATAGTGGTTATGTGGTTTAGATTGAATAGACCAGAAGCGCATCACGCATTGAATACCAGGGCAGTGGGACGATAATTGGGACCTGAAATGGGGAGGAATAAAGGACAGTTAGTATCTCAGTCAAATGCTGTGTGCTGCAACCCATTTCTGTGGCGTTAAGCATGTCGGCAGTTCTATATTTTTCACATCATTTAAAAACAGACATCGACCCTCCACCCATGTGAAGAACAATTTCAGAACACTGACTTGGACTCCCATCTGACATACAGTTTTTTGAATTATGTTCGTCGCGCGAAAGTGGAGAACGGAATGCAACCTGCCTACTAGGCATTCCTGTTCTAGATTATATCAGTCCCCTTATTTACATTCTGGAAACCGCCTCTGCGTAAGGTGTTTCTTTTCGTCATCCATCTTTAAAAGTGTCCTTATCGTCGTGCACTTTCCACGTATGGCACTGCTGTGCTGGCGGACGGCTTGGGACTATGTTCCCCCCAGTCCCCTTTTGCAAAACATCAACATGCACTTGTCGTCGTATAAATCAAACGCTGCATAAATGTTCGCTGAAGTGCAAGCATCCGCATCTATATGCCAATACCTATTCCCTTTGTGTGAACTTGTAGTGGTGACCCGGTTAAGAACTTAACGCTGTTTAGAAACCTCCCCTTTTAAGCCTTGACACTTCCTTTACCACACTACTTTACTTTAACACTACTGTTTGTATTGCAACAACCATGACCATCACGCAACGGCCTTAATCACCGGAGGCGTCAACGGCCACTGTAGAGGCAGAGCAGCGCACAAAATCCCAGAGGGATCGCCACCTTGACATCATGACCGTATTTCACTGGAAGCCTCTCAATACTGGGTCTTGAAGCCATCCCTGTCTACGCAATATACCCGAATTTTTTAGACAATGCGTTACGATATATATGAAAAAATCGGGGCATTCTGCCGATGGCGCGATCTACGGGGCCTGGCAGAAACCAGCGAAAAAAAAAACTCGAGGCGGGTACGGGGAGGGGGGTCCCGTAGTTCCTACCCATCTTTCCCACAAGAGATTTAAGCATGCAAGTTTCTCCATCCTCTCTGTATCAGGCTCAACTTATTTTCAGCACATCTGGTTCTCTTTGAATCAGCCTCGGATGCAACTCGTGAGTTAGGATTTGGTCCAGATCCTGCCCGGCCGGATCCAATCCAATCCAAGGCGTTGGATCGGATCAAACAAAACTAATCCGCTCCGTGCTGTGGGTTCGGCGCTTCGGCGAGCGCCGGCCGGCGGGCGAAGGCCGAGACCGTCAGGCGTCACAGGAGTTCGCAGTGCATTGCAGTTGCAGGGCAATGCCGCACCCGTTTGAAGGCCGCTGTGGCCTTGACCTTGGGCCGCTGTGACCTGCGCCGCAATGTCATGGCTGGCGCGCGCTGGTGGTCATAAGTCACACTGTCACCCGATCGTTCCCCGCCGCTACGATGTCCTCATCGCTAAGCCGAGAGGCCCGTTCGGCGCCCTCGGCCAGTCGGTCGGAAGAGAAGGTAGCGCTCGCACTGCCGGCGCCGGCGGTGACCTTGCGCGGGAGGACGCCAGCGGTGACCTTGCGCCGGAGGACGCCAGCGATGACCTTGCACCGGAGGATGCAAGAGGACGTCAGCGATGACCGTACGTGGAGGGACGCCAGTGGTGACCTTGAGCGGGAGGACGCCAGCATTGACCTTGGGCGGAAGGACGCCAGCGATGGCCTTGCGCAGGGGAACGCGATCGGTGACCTTGCGCGGTAGGGCATGATCGAGGCGAGCTGCGCACTTATCTGGTCCATGGGGATACGGACGCGGACGGTTGGACTTTTTGCAGCGACATCATCACAGTATCTGTTAAATAATTTCTGGATAATCTCGACGTTGCGTTTTCGGGTCATCTGGTTCGTAAGAGATTCAATGAAATACGTCGATGTTTATATGTAATATAGCACTCGGGAGGAGTTATTTGTTGTGTGCAAACAATATTCTTATTAAAGCAACTTGGTTGGCAATGTGTCAAGTCGGATATTTGCAAATTAAGTCGCGTTGATAATGTAGACGTTCTGCACGAATTTAACCTCGCAGGACTGCACTAGCTGTGCACATTTAAACGCACTTATTGTACGTCTGCCGTGCAGCTGACAAGAAATTAGCGCGAAGGAAATTAAACAGCCGAAAGCTTCCTCGTGCCAGAAGCCCCAAACCCAGTTGACCAAGTGCCGTGGTGGCTAGGAGCCCCACAGTCCGGCCTGGCGGCCGACCGGAGCCCACCCGACCTGCTTCATTGGCCTGTACGGGAGCAAACCCTCGCCGCTATCGATCGCACTTGGCCGAACTCAGCTCACAAAAGGTGACGTGCTGCTCGGAAGACGCGACGTTTCCACGCGGCGCGTGCTCGCTGCAGGCGCGACCGAGCCGCGTCCGAGGCACGCCGCCAC